ATTATTATTATTATTATTATTATTATTATTATTATTATTATTATTATGTGTATGGGTATGTGTGGACGTGGATGCTGGGAACTGTGCCCTTAATCACAGAGCCATCTCTCCAGCCCCACTATTTGGGAACTCTCGATCCTCATCTGGTGAAAGACTTCAGGAAGACCCGAAGCAAAGGACTCCTCTCCTTCTGGGGTCCCCATACTTTCCCCTTTATGTCCTGCCTTATTTGAACCCATAGTAAAGGGTCTGATGTCCACATTCCCCCCACTATGATCGCTCTCAGCTTATCATCATCGCATCTGAACGTTGCCCCTGACATTTCTCACACATGTCACTGGCAGTATTTTCACCACCGTGACCACGGGATCCTGGCATGCCACTGGTGTTTCCTGCAACACCAATCCTGCCACAGTCACCATCACCTGTGCCAGGGTGACTTCAGGAAAATGGTGCAACCCCTTTCCATCAGCATGGCTGTCCCTGTCAGCCAGACACCTCCTTCCCACATCATCACACCCATCTCCAGCCAGTGGCCCAGCTTCTCCCTCCCATGCCTTTTCTGTTTGTGCCCAGTCCTGTTCAAGCTACACACCTGTTCTGTGCCCCGTGTGCCCCATGACCTTGCAGCAACCTTAGAGGAGGTGTTTGTCTTCATCTCAAAGCCTAGAGAGGTCTTCAGCTAACTCAGGGTGCAGAGCTTGTAGCCTCAAAATGTCGCTCGGGGTGCAGAGTTCCTAGCCACAAAATGTCACCATTTGGAGACAGGATGCTGAGTTGGGGACAGCAGGCTCAATGACATCTGTACGCACTGTGGAGAGAAAGACAGTTCGGGGACACCAGGACATTGCCAGCCAGTCTCCCGCAGCCTAGGAGAGTTCTAAAGCTGCAGCCAGGTGTAGCTCAGGGTCAGCGAGAGGGGAGGCTCGGCTCGGAAATCCCCCTTGCTGTCCGAAGTCCTCTCATGGCTGCATTGAAAGAGCTGATTGCTTCTCTGGACCTGGGATGATCACTGAGGCATGTACTTGGCCGTGGCTGAGCAGTGTCCTCTGATGGGCTGAGCAGCTGGAAAGCTATTGATATGGGGTCCTGCTCTGTGCAGAAATTCTGCTCCGTGGCCCTCTCATGCTCAACAGTGCCAGCGGCCGCAGGTGCTCATGGAAGAGAGCCCCTTCACACGGTGAAAACTGAGGCGTGGGAGGGGCCAGGGCGAGGCCAGGTGATGCAGACAGGAAGGAAGTCTGCGGGTCTTCACAGTCTGCAGCTCCGGGAGCCAGGGCCTCTGGATAGTTACCAGGGAGGAGGCAGGTGGCTGTGAAACAGGGCCACTAGCTCTGAGAAGAGTTCTGGTGTTGGGGACAGAGGCATGGGGTTCTACCCAATTGTGCTGTGCGGTGGTTCAACCCATCCAGCTCTCCCCTCTCCGTCCCCATTGTCTGGGCGGTAAAACAAGTTCATTCTGCTCTGTTTGCTGGGCTGTTGGCAATTGTAGCCAAACTTGTGTTCAGGTCTGAGCACACAGTGGGGCCAGTACTGTCAGGAGCTGCCATTCCCTCTCTTGGGGAGCACAAGATGTTGGGCCTGGGGGCAGAGCTGACTTCTAGGTTGCCTTGGGACCTTGGGCTTGTATCTGACCTCTCTGGGCCCCAGGTTCTCATAGGGCAAATGAGGATAGACACAGCCCTCTCCCAGCCCCTCAGCAACACCCTGGGTAGAGAGACAAGGTAACAGTTTTCCAGTAGGGGAAACACTTTGGGCCTAGTGAACACTGTTCAGTCCTGCTGCTGGGGTCAGGGAGGGCCCCCGGCCGACCTTCTTGAGGGTCCCCTAAAGGAGAGTACAGGAGTAGCCCCAGCAGGGCCAGGAGGTCAGAGACACAGGGAGCAGCTGGTGGGTGAAAACCAAAGTCTGGTTTAAATTTCCAGGGAACAGGGCTGCTGGGGCAAGCCAGGACCCCGACCCTCACTCTCCTGGCCTATGGAAGGGGCAAAACTATGAAGGCCGACCTTGTCCTGGTCCTTTCTTGCCACTTCCCAGGTCACTGGCTACTTGCAAGGGTTGTTGCTGGGATGTGAATGGCAGCAAAAGATCCTCAGAGTACAGGGCCAGGCTTAGGAGTCTGGTGGGGATGGGGGAGGTGGGCATTGTGGAATAAAATGTGGTCCCTGAGAGCCCTTCCAGCTACAGCTTTGGGAGCTGGGGCACCCAATATGTAGGCCTATTAGAATCTCCCCATCTCTCTCATGCATGGACAAGGGACAGGCTTCACTCATTCATTCATTCATTCATTCATTCATTCATTCATTCATTCTCCAAATGTAACAAACCACATCAGCAAACGTGACCCAGGCCACCCCATGGAGCTGGCAGCCCAGGTCACACCTGTGCCTAGTTGTGCAGATGGACATTTCTTATCTGCACTGTCAGTCATTCTGTCTGGCTCCCAAAGCCCTAGGAAGCCAGTGTCTCAGCTCTTTTATAGCTGGGAGAGCACAGACCCTGGGCCTGTGGTGACTGGCAACTGCTCACTCAGGGCCTGGGGCTCTGTAATGTCTTCTAGACCTCTGCCGATGGCTCATGGACTTGAAGCTCCCTGATGGTTGGGTGTGATGACCAAGGTCCTATGTCAGCCAGGACCTGTTCTGGTCTGGGGGTGCAGAGAAGGTTTGCAGTCGGGGTACCTGATCTTCAGCAGTGAGAGGCAATGCCTCCTGGAAGCAGGGTGTCCCTCTGAGGCTCCTCTGTGCCTCCTTAGATACCGGGGGCTACCTGAGGTAGCTTCTGTATGAACCCTACTTACAGATGAGGAAACTGAAGCATGGACAAGTCAGGCCAGTTGTCCACAGTCACACAGCAGGGAAGAGAATGGGCCAGGATGAGCATCATATATTTACCCAGGATGCCCAACAACTACGCAAACTATCACGCCAACCCCTTTAGAGCACCCTGTTTGAATGGTGGCACCCCTCACTGGTGCCCTTTTCTCTTCCAGGTCATGAGTGTCCTGCTGTTCATTGAGCACATGGTAGAAGTGGCCCGCGGTAAAGCCTCCTGCAGGTTCTCCAAGATGCCATACCTCAGGATTGGTACGTCTGGGGACGGTGCTGGAGGGGATCCGTGGGCAGTGCTTGGTTAGGGCACGAAGACTGGGGTCTGTGGTCCTGCTATCTTCGCTGGACTGCTGTGCATCCCTGACTCTTCAGGACTGTGCCGTATTTCACAAGCAAATGAGGCCCTCCCCTGCTTGTACCACGGGCTTGCTCAGGCTCTGAGGTTTCAGACTGAAGTTCCTGCTATAATAGCCACATCACACAGTCACAGCTCTCACCTGAGTGGGGAGGGTCAGCCTTAGACTGCCCTGGTCTGGTCTCAGGCCTCACTGTTAACACTCCCAGCCCCACGCTAGCAGCTTCCAGAGCCTGGTCCCCGGGATCCACTCAGGCTTTGCCTCGGTCTCTGCTCTGCCTTGCAGCCGACCTGCTCTCCAGCTTCCTGCTCATTGGAGTCCTCTTCGCCATCAGTGTCAGCCTGCTGTTTGGTGTGGTCAAGGTGAGGCCTGGGCAGGGATGGAGGGGACAGGAGCTGAAGCCTTCTTGCTGTTTTGAGCACCCCATAGATATTCACGTGTTTGTTTGGAAGAGATGCTGTTCCCTACGGGGCGCCATAGTCTGTCAGCTCCAGTCACTTTCAGGATGAGACTTTCTAAGGGCTGGGCTGGCTAGGGGGTGCTCAAGGGTGGCAGGGCACTCACAGGAGACCTGAGTTCTTTAGACTATGGGTAGGGCTGGGAGTGTCGAGATAAAGGAGAAAGGGGGACAGTAGTATGGGGCTTAAGGGGAGCCACAGTACTGGGATTGCTCTCAGGGACAAGGGTCTTCCCCCTGCCCTGCCCCCACATGAGCAGAGACACTTGCTCATGAAATCCTGGGAATGTGTGCTTGTACTAGGGAACGCAGACAGACCTAGAGAGAGTTGGGGTGTCTTGGGGGAAATATGGGGGAGATTGAGTCATGCTGAGGCTCAAAAGAGGAGCCATTTGCCCCATGGCCTCCAGGGAGGTAGGAAGTTGACCTGGTCACTTGGCCACCTGGAGAGAGCCCCGCCCTGCAGATGGCAGGGATGTTGGTTAGGCAGAGGGGTAGTGGCTTAATGCTGACCTGGAGTGTCTTAGTCCCTGGTCACCTTGGCAGTATCCGGGAACCTCATCTCCAAGGTGTGTCCTCAGTGTGTGGCGTAGCTGTGGGGCTGCTGTACAGACTCACAGTGCCCAGCTAAAAGGCAGAGCAGGGGTCCTGAAGACTCAGACAGACACCCTGAGTCACCTCTTGAGTGGCTTAGGTAGCCATGAGACACGCCAGGACCCCATCTTTTCTGTGACTTCTGTGGCATATGTGCATGGTTGCTGGGCTCCCACGGAGGGAGAGAGACTGATTGACCTCCAGGGACCTCTTCCCACGGCCTGTCACATCTGGCTTTGACCACCTGGAAAAAGACGGCTGCTAACAAGGACAGGCTCCTCTCCTTGAGCCTTTACTGGCTGTGCCTCTGCCTCTGGCCCCGTGCCCAGTCCCCTTACCTAAAAAATTCTGGATCTAGTTGGGTGTCCCCTTCAGGGATGTCCTCTCTGTCTCCCTTCTCTGTGGAGTGGGCACCGTGCCCTACCTTGTGGGTCCTTGAGAAAGAAATGAATCAGGTTCTACCCCAGAGCCTGTCATCCAGCTTTCATTGCTGGTACAAAAATACCCAAGAGAGTCATGTAGAAGTGAGGTTCGTTTTGGCTCATGTTTCCAGCCCACAGTGTGCTGGCTGTCTTTCTCTGGGTGTGAGATGAGGCAGAACATCGCAGTGGGGAGGGAGTGGCATATGGCTGGCAGAGCTGCTCACTTCATGGTAGCTAGGAAGGAGAGAGAGGAGAACAGGGGTCACGGGTAAGTCCAGAGGGCACCCCTAGTGGCCTGTGACCAAAGCCCTTCATTTCCATTCCTGGGCTCAGTTGGTGGAGTCCTTGCCCAGCATATACAAGGTGCGATTCTAGGCATCATGCAAAGGCAGCATGGCAGAGCACACCCGTGAGTGAAGCACTCTGGCGGTGGAGGCAGGTGGCTTAGGAGTTTCGGATCATCCCTGGCCTCCTAGGGAGTTTGGAGCCAGCCTAGAATACACAAGATCCTGTCTCAAAAAAACCCCCCAAAAACCCAAAGGACAGACAGACAGACAGACAAACAAATCACAACAGAGCCCCTGTATATGGAGCCCATTCCCTGGTGTCTTCTCAGACATCAAGATGTCCCTCTCCTGGTCCCCAGAGTGTCGCTCACGGGAAGGAAGATGCAGGCAGGCCCTAGTCACTGAGTTGGCAGCATCGGTGACAGGGTGGGAACAGGATGCATGGGCGCATGGTGGGGGGGCACTCTGGGGCGTTGGCATGTCAGGGACCCCCTGACAAGGCAGACCTTCCTTGTAGAACAGAGAGAAGTACCTGGTGCCCTTCCTGTCCCTTCAAATCATGGACTTCCTGCTGTGCCTTCTCACACTGCTGGGCTTCTACATCGAGTTACCGGCCTACCTGAAGCTTGCCCAGCCCCGGCCCGTGAGTACCTATGTGCATGGCCTGACCTGGGCAGGCTGTCCAGGACAGGGTCCTTTTCCTCCTTGATATCCTTCGGCAAGGCCCTCTGATCCCTGAAAAACAACCCCAGCCTCCTTCTTCTGTACTGTCTGTCAGTGTACCTCTGGACCGCCCTGCGCCCGGCTTGGGGATCTTCATACTTCCTCTTGGTCCTTAGGGCCAAATGAGGGTGGCGTGGGGATGGAGCCTGGTGTGCTGACCACAGGGTCAGCAGCCTCAACCTAGATGACAGTTTGTCCCCAGGCCTTAGAGCCTGCTGAGATGGCTGTTTACAATGGCCATGCATGGGTCACCCAGAGAGAAGGGTGCAATGCCTTTTAAGGTCTCAGCATCGGTCAATTTCTCCTTTGGAAACAAAGGGAGATGGCTGGGTTGGTCAAGACCAAGGGACAAAGACTATCCACTGAGGAAAAGTCTGGTGGCCTTAGCCGGTCACGGAACACCCAGCTTTGTCAGAGTTGCCATTCACAGTCCCCAGTTCTGGTCCTGGAAGGGCTGGGCTGCTGGAAAGTGGGAGAAGGGCTGGGGAGTTAGAAGAACCCTGTTGTGGTCCCAGCTCCACTGACACACTGATGAGAACATCATGTGACCTTTTCTTTAAGCACAGTCAACGAAGGGATGGCTGGTAGCTTGGGTGGAGAGGCTCTCAAGGGAGAGCCACTCTGTGCCCTGCTCAGGGGTCTTCATGCTTCCTGTTGGTCCTCCTTAGGGTCGCTCTAAGGTCCCCTTCATGACACTGCAGCTTCTGGACTTCTGTTTGAGCATCATGACCCTGTGCAGCTCCTACATGGAAGTTCCCAGCTACCTTAACTTCAAGTCCATGAACCACATGGTGAGTCTCGGTGGAGGACCAGGCCACATCCTGGCTGTGTGGCCTGGGGCAAGGTGTCCTCCGATGTGGGATGGTGGGAGGGACTTATGGGTTGGAGGCTGGGTTTCCTGGAAGGAAGACTAATGTGTGAGTGATATACTGGGACAGCAACTTTCAGAGACAAGCTTCTAGGACAAAAGGAGGCCCTGGCCGTGATGAGCCGCATAGCATCCTGCCCTGGGAACTGTTGTAGGAATGACACTAAGTATTTACTGCTGTCTAACTCACTGTCCCCCAAACACAGTGGCTTAAAATGACAACAGTATGCCACAGTTGTGAGGACCATGTACTTTGGGGTGGCTTGCTAGGTGGCTCAGTTGCTGGTTCAGCATGGCAGCTAGGCAGGAGGCGAGTGATCTGCTCCCCCAGGGCTCCTCGCAGCAGAATTGGTGGCTTACCCACTTTCTCTTGGTGGCGACCTTCAGCAGGGTGGCCTGAGCATCCTCAGAGCATGACATCTGGCTGGCTGCTCCTGAAAGCTCACATCTGTCCCTGAACGAGTCCTGCCCATTCTCCAGGGAAGGGGCCAGTGCTTCCTATTTCAGAAGAAGGAGGATCAAAGGGTGTGTGTGTGGTGGTGCTCGGTGGCCATCGTAGCATTTGGAAGGCTGAGGCAGGAGGATTGCTGTGAATCTGAGTCCAGTCTGGGCTACAGAGCAAGACTGTTTCAACAAAAAGACAGGCAGACAGAATGCATGGGCATATCTTTTCCTTGCCCGGAGGTGGTACATCGCAGATCTGGTGTCAAGCAAGTCAGTCCCAGCTAGAGCTGCCCTGGTGTCGGGTGTGACCTGCCAGGTGTTAGAGGACTAGGTGGCTCCTAGCAGCTAAAACCAGCTAATGAGATGCCGTGGTTGGGGCTCCTGAGTTGGGAGTTGCCAAGGGAGAGTGTGTGTGTGTGACCCTGCCTGGTGGGAGGACCAGGGCCCCCAGGGCCAAGGTGGTGATGTGGTCCTGTATCATTGCAGAATTACCTCCCGAGCCAGGAAAGCATGCCGCACAGCCAGTTCGTCAACATGATGATCATCTTCTCAGTGGCCTTCATCACTGTGCTCATCCTGAAGGTGAGTGGTCCTGCAGCCCACGGTTCTGTGAGCCTGGTTAATGCTGTCTGTGGCTCAGGTTCCCCCATAATGGACTGTGAGGAGGCAGGTTGAGGGGTGCTTGCGGTCCCCTCCTGCTTCCAAGCTCTCCCTAGCTTTCCTGCCTCAGCTCTTCTGGCTTGGCCTGTCACCTTGGGGGCATTCTTGTGTGCCTGTGACGCCATGTATACTCAGATGCCTGGGCCCAGCATATAGGTCTTTCTGGCAATGGCCCAGTGTGCTGTCCGGGGTTAGACTTCAGCCCTGTGGGTTGAGGATATCCACACTGTTCTGTAATCTTAGAGAGAGAGAGAAAAAAAAAAGCAACTACATGATCAGGGGCTTTTGTTTTGTTTTTGAGACACAGTCTGTAGCCTAGGTTGGCCTTGAGCTCACCACATAGCCCAGGCTGACTTGATCTCCTGCTCCTCCTGCCTCCACTTCGCAAGTGCCAGGATCACAAGTCATGTACCCTCGTGCTCAGCTCAGAGGCGCTTTTGAAAAGGACTTTCTCACCGTTGAGCCATCTCAAGATGGGTGGGGTCCTTTAGACAATGAGTTCCCTGTCATTCAGGATGGCTGAGTAGGGTATGTCTGATGGTGTTCAGGGAGGCTGGAAGCAAGATGAGAAGCCTGAAGAGCCCTTGCTGCATGGTGGCTGTGGGCAGGAAGGGTAGTCTCTGGAGCATGCCAGGCTGGTATGTGAGGAAGTGCAAAGCCAGAATGTATGTGTGTGTGTGAGGTCTGAGCTGCTGTTGAATGCTGAATTCTGGGATGAGTGAGTGGTCACTCCCTGGAGGCATCTGACATCTAGCCAGAGCCTCTCAGGAGAGAGCAGGAGGGTGGGCAGAGCACAGCCTAAACGGGCTCTTCTTCAGGTCTACATGTTCAAGTGCGTGTGGACATGCTACAGATTCATGAAGTACATGAATTCAGCCGTAGAGAACAGCAGCTCCAAGGTGTTCCTCAAGGTGAGACTAATGGAGGGTCAAATACCAGGCCTACCACTCTCTTGATGTGACACTTGAGGGCCAGTTCTTTTTCCTCTCGGGGCCTCAGCACTTGAGAGAAGATTGTTGGACCATCCATCCATCCATCCATCCATCCATCCATCCATCCATCCATCATCTTCATCCATCCATCCATCCATCCATCCACCCACCCATCCATCTCCACCCATTCATCTCCATCCATCCATCCATCCATCCATCCATCCATCCATCCATCCATCATCTTCATCTATCAATCCATCCATTCACCCACCCATCCATCTCCACCCATTCATTCATCCATCCATCCATCCATCCACCCGTCCATCCCCACCCATTCATCTCCATCCATCCATCCATCCATCCATCCATCCATCCATCCATCCATCCATCTTCATCCACCAATCCATCCTGGATGGGAGAGATGAGAGCCAGTTCTTTTGAGAGCTTTTGGACTGAGAATGTTTATCAAAGCCCTGGACATTGAGGTCAATGGGCAGAGGCAGGTGCCTCCTTTGTGGGAACAGAAGCATGACCAGGTCTCACAAGCATGCAAGACACTGTCATCATCATTTTGATGGATGTGGGGGGAGGGTCCTTGTACCCCAGGTTAGACTGACATCCTTCTTGATGGTGCTCATCTGTCTTTTCTGTCTCTCCCAGGTGGCTCTGCCATCCTATGAGGAAGCCTTGTCTATGCCCACTAAGACTCCAGAGGGGGACCCTGCACCACCTCCATACTCAGAAGTGTGACCCCACACCAGGCCTCAGCCCTTGGGCTGGGCGAGTTGGAGCTTCCTCCTCCTGCTTCTTCACTTTGGTGGCCTTTACTTCACTGTGGCCTACTATGGGACAATCTGCTCGTGCACCCCCTCACTGTCCTCTCCTCCTGGGGACCCCTCACTCATAGCTGAAGTCACCCCTGGGCTAAATAACCCTTTGAGTCTCAGACTACCCAGCCTAGCAGCTCATCTTATCTCCATCAGCGACAACACTTGTTTGGGGCACAGTCATGGCAAATTAGGTGGAGTTTGGTTAGCGGCTACCAGCTTGATCTGTTTAGCCGGGCAGCCCATACCACAGGGACAACGGGAAAAGGATCTGGTCAAACAGCAGTTCCTGGGGTCAGTTTATACCCACCCCCCAGGTTAGGGGGTGGCTCATGATCGTGGTGCCCACTTGTCACCCCCATACCCCAAAAGTATACATGTGAACCTATCCCTTCAAATAGGTTGCTTCAAGAAATAGCAACTCAGTCAACTGCTGTCTTTAGGAATTGTGATAAAAATCGAATAAAAAATAAAAACCATGGTGTCAAACAGAAGGGGAAAAAATGGAGTTCTTCCCACCATTCACCTCAATGCACCCAGTGGGTGACCAGCATCTGCTCGAGTTTCTCTAGCAGCTGCAAGCTGAGGAGTCTGACAAACACTCCCCTCAGCCGCCCTGTCAGTCCTGCTAGGCATGGGGAAAAGGCTGCTTTTGTTTTAAACAGTACCTTCCCATGAACCACTGCTCTGATGGTAAGCTATGTTCACCTTCAGTCAAGTTCTGACCCTGTGTTCCCTATGGCCACACAGTGGTGAGGTTCCCTGCAAGGGACATGGGCAGATTTAGGGTCTGGTTGTCACGATGTCTATCACTATGGATGCCCGGTTGGGTCAGGCCAGCCCACGGGGTATGAAGAGCCAGCCAGAGGCTTGTGTTCCACGGTGGCAGTGAGGAGGATTGGCCCATGCCCCTCTGCTGGTTTTGCCATCGCTAGGGACTGCTGGGGATTAATCCTAATGCCAGAGATCTACACGCTGCCTGTGGTGTAGACGGGCTGCAGGGTTGAGGGGGCTGAGAGAGGTTCCTATTGCACCTGTGTCATTGCTTGTGTGTGACTTGGAAGAGGGACCAATAAAGCAGCTGCAAGCTTTGCTCTGACTCATGTGGTTCTTTACAGACGATGCAGAGAGAGAGGATCTCCAGCCTCCATTACGCCAGCACACATATACACAGCATTTCTGCCCATCCCCTGGGGCCTGCCCAGCCTCTCGGTGTCACCCCTGAACCTGTGTCTGATGTAACCATGTGAAATGTCCCCACATCTCCCTGGTCCAGGGGGGAACTCTGTTCACAAGGAGGGAGATGGCCTCCAGCCAGGGCCTGTTCTGAATACTGGGAACTCACGGGCTGGGACTCGGTAACAGATCCATAAATTTGTGGTCATCACCCAGTGCTGTGGGGAAAGCCCATGTCCTCAGAGTCTGGAGACCAAGTGTCTTAGGGGATATTTCATCAAGTGGAGTGAAGGACAGGTCATGCTAAGTCAAGGCTGGTCCGGAACAAAGTTGTTGAATGTACAGGGTCACCGTGGTTGGGAGGGGCTGGACCACTTCAGTGTTCCAGATGAGAGCAGAGAACAGGACTCTGCTTACTCACCCTGGCCAGTGTCACCCTGAAGAGCTTACAAAGATGGATGTGAGCAACAGAAACCTTAATGCCCAGTCTTCTAAAGGTAGCCTGATGGTTCTTAGCTCTCACTACAGAAGGAATAGTTCAGGGAATTTGGGCTCCAGGGATGGCTGGATCCAAGGCTGATGTTTTCCTGTTCAGGCCTCTTTGCCTTTCTCTATCTCCTGCTTCCCCTCCAGGGCTCCTGAGCAACTGAGGGCTTGTCTGAAAGGGACTTCAAGAGACAGCTAGGGTAGTTTGAGTCAGGGTCTGTCCCCAAGAGAGACCAAATGCCTGACATGGTGGCACACTTTGGGGCTGAGGCAAGAAGATCTCAAGGTATTTAGGCTAGCCTGATCTGCACAGTGAGACCCTGTCTCGAAAGACCAAGTGCTGAGTGTATAACTCAGCGACAGAATTCTTTCTTAGCATGAACAAGGTTTTGCTTTCAGTTCCCAGCACCACATAAAGACAAAAGCAAAGGCTACAGATCCTAACCTCAGGTGCTGTCAGGCATCCCTGGAGATGGAAGATTTCACTGTGTATCCTATTTGCTTTTTTACCCCACATAACTGATAACGTGTGACTCTTAACACCAATGGAAAAGGAGCTTCAGGGCAGCCCAGAGACATCAAGTGACTTTCCCAAGGCCCCACAGCACTAGGGTTAGATAAAGGCCTTTTATTTCCAATCCCAAGTGAGGGTTGTTGGAATGGACCAGGGCCTCAGCCTTTGTGAGCTTGTCTTGCAAAGATTCATGTGAAGGTCTCCTGCCCCTACCCCTGCTCCAGCAAGTAGAGGATGGGGCAAGATCTGAGGTCACAGGAAGAAAGAATCAGTTTTGCATCCTATCACCACAGGACTAACGGGCCAAACTGTGGATCTCTGGGTGTACTGTCTGCCTTCTCACTTCCTGCCCCCAGTGCTGGCCTGGAGTCTTGGTGCTGAGCTGTGTGGTGGGATTGTGCCCTGTGGTCAGGCAGTGGGGAGGGGGCAGCCTAGGGACAGGAAATAGCTGGGTTTGGGGAAGTCCATGTGGCCAGCCAAGCCAAGCGAGTTGTGGTCACCTGGGCAGCTTATGTAGGGGCCTCTCAATGCTCTACTTGAGGCTCAGACAGGCGCTCTTTGATGGGAAATGGGGACCCCTGAGGGCTGCCTGAGTGGGATGCAAGGAGGAAGCCAGTTGGAAGGGAGGCTGTTCCAGGGCAGGCAAGATGGCTGCTGCTAGATGCCCAGAATCACGCTGCATCATGGAGCAGGAGAGGGCAGGTTCATTGGGAACTACGACAGTGGCAGAATGGTTGGGCCCAGCACAGATATGAGCAGCCTTGCTCATGACCCACACATGATTTCAGATAGGTGCCTACCCTCCCGTGGACCCCAGGAGTGACTGTTACACAGCAGCTGCTATGTAAATTCATGGGCTAGAAAATGTGTGTCCTCTGTGGAGGCACCCCAGGGTGGGATGGTAGGTGAGGATGTCACCCAGATAGATGGAGATACCACACATTAGTGGAACATAGTGCTGGCTGCTGACCTTCCCACACATACCCCGCTTTATCTAGCACTTGGTTTCCAGCTGGGGTGACCCCTTACAGGGCCCAAGACCATGTGACATCCCATGGGGCTCCTTATCCCAGAGTTAGGTGGCTGGAGCTGCTGGCATGGCAGGGTTTCCACTCACTTTTTCTGCAGGTCCTGAGTGTCAAAACAGCTCTGAAAGTGAGTGGGACTGTGCCCTTTGACAGTGGCCTACTGCCGATTTTTTTTGGGCCTCTGCTTTGCTTTGGGGTCAGTTAGGGATTCCCATCCAATCAGATCACCTTTGACAACAGCTTCAATTTGTGATAGAATTGAGGTAGGCAGGCCTAGGGGGTAGCGTGCAACCCAGAATCCCACTTGGCTTGGACTCTACACCTCCCACACCACACCACACCAAACAGCAGCAGCAGCAGCAACAACAACAACTCTCTCTCTCTCTCTCTCTCTCTCTCTTCCTTTTGTGGCTAGTTTCTATTCAAATACATACCCAGATATATCTGGTACCGTATTCATTCAGAGTAGACTGGTTTTGTGTCCTCTGGTAAAAGATCATATTTGCCACCTTATGCTTGAGCATAACTGGGCATACCTAAGGTTAAAATTAGACGTACTGTGAGGGAGGGACGAGCATGGAGGGAAAGGTTACAGAACCCAAACCTGTCAATCAACATGGAGGATCACTCTTGCTAAGTCTCCTAGTAACCAGCTCGTCTTTCCCTTGAGCCCCATGAAGGTCAGTCCTAATGGTAGCCAGAGCCCTTCAGTATTCTCTCATTTGGGAAGCCCTCAGCTCGTTTGCAGCAAATCTGACTGGTTCTGTCACTTTGCTCTTGAATACTGTTTCCTTGCTGCTTGCGATCACTATGCACCTTTATTTCATTTTCCTGAACAAGATGCTGAGAACCTGGAAACATCCAGTCTGGACACTGACCACAGGAAACAGAATCATTTTAAATGCCAGAAGAGCAGGCTGAGAGCTTGGCCTGGGGGTTCTCTGTGGGCCCTTGATGGCAGCAGAGACTTCATGGAGTGACATCAGCAGCTGGGTAGGTCTCTGTAGCCACATGGGCATCGTTGGCTGACTGGGCACCCAGGGACCAGTGCTCATAGCCAGGTCCCTCCCCAGGATCCTGGAGGATGTCTGCCTCGTTAGTTACCAGATGTGTCCCAGCAAGCAGGAATGGCCAGCATAAGGGAGCCAGAGCTAGCTGTCAACAGCCAGCCTTTCTGGGGACAGTGCAGCGGTCACCCCAGATAGTCCAGCGGAGCAGTCACCTGTGGCATCCTCTGGCCTACATGCTACCTCTCCAGCAGGGTGGGTTGTGCAGCCAGGCCCTGATGTTCTGGTCTAGATGAGCTTTGGGGTTCTTCAGAGGCCATAGTTTGAGGTGTTACGTCACTTAGGTGATCAAGAAGCCTGATTTCTCCCCTCCCTTTCTTAGACAACGGTCTCACTCGGATGTCTAGGCTTCTGGGTTCAAGCAAGCCTCTCCTTGTAAGGCTGAGGCTACACATGACTGCTCGCTCTTCTGGCTGTCCTGAATTCTGATCTGGGCGTGATCTGGGCCCTCAGATAGCTTTTCACACCAGAGAATGTGTTGGTTATTTTTTTTTTTTTCTATTGCTGTGAAAAAATACCCTGAAAAAAGCAACTTAAGGAAGACTTTTTTTTTTTTTTTAATTGTTTGTTTGTTTCTTTTTATTGGCTCATAGCTTGAGGGAAGGAAGCCATGTTGGCAGGAGTTCCAGGTGGCTGGTCAAGAAGAGAGAGCGGTAAATGCTGGTTCTCAGCTCTGTTTTCCCATTTTATTCAGTCCTGGACCCCAGGCCACGTGATCACCCCCAATTAGGGCAAGTCCTTCTACCTCGATTAATCTAACCAAGGTAATCCCTCTCCGCATGTTCAGGGGCTAACCTAACATAGACAATCCTGGAGGCCTGTCTCCTAGGTGACTCTAGAGTCCCCTCAAGATGACAACTAATGTGAGCCATGACAGAGGGTGGCTGAGCCTGTTGCCACTCCGTACGTGTCCATGCTATACCCTGGGGCATCAGGTGGCATGGGCTCCTTGTCTGAGACGTGTGCCAGGTGTCTGGAGACAGAACTTGGACTCATCAGGGCCACCACAGCATCGGAGGAGCATCGGAGCAGCATCGGAGCAGCATCGGAGCAGGCCTTTTGCAGAGACAAAGCCTGTGCTAAGCCGCCATGATCCTGGGCATGCTTGTCGCTGCAGCCTAACCTCTCCTGACACGAGAAGGGATGGAAAAGCCAGCATCCATGTCTCTCGCACTGCGCTTCCTTCTCCCAGCAGAGCCTCGAAGGCCTCAGCTTTACTGAGGGACAAAGAAGATGAAGGCTCCGGGGGCCACCACAGCAGGCACACAACAGGGCAGAGCATCAAACCCAGCTCCACACAATTCCAAAGTGTTGCCTTCTAGCCAAGATCCCAGCAAGCCCAGCCCGTCAGGCAACGACAGGGCTCCAGGTGGTTCTGGGTGATATGTAAATGAGGAAGCTAGATTTAACTGGTTTGAATTTATGTGAATGGGGTAAACATAAAAACCGTGCCTCAAACCAGCTCTTTCACGGCTGTTATTTTATTAGGAGGAGGGAGTTCTAAAATAGCAGTTGGTTCTGAGTTGTAGATTATGCTGCTGGGGGGATGGCTCAGTGGGTAAAGTGCTTGGCACACAAGCATGAGGACCCGAGTTCAAATTCCCAACACCCATACAAAAGTTGGGCATAGTGATGTGTGCCTGCAACCTGAGGACCAAAGGGGTGGGATATTCCCTGGGGCTTGCTGTCTGTCCAGCCTGGCTGGACGGGTGAGCTCCAGGTTCACTGAGAGACCCTGTATCTTAGTCACAGTTCTATTGCTATGAAGAGACACCATGACCAACTCTTATAAGAGAAAACATTTAATGGGGCCTGCTTGCAGTCTCCATTTTAGTCGGTTATCATCATGATGGAGTGGCATGCAGATGGACATGGTGCTGGAGAAGTAGTTGAGAGCTGTATCCTCATCTACAGGCAGAGAGGGAGACATTGGGGCTTGTTGTGTACTTTAGAAACCTTAAAGCCACCTTCCTTCCCACCCTCCAGGACATGCTTCTTCCAACAAGGCCACACCTCCTAATCCTTCTAATTCTTTCAAACAGTTCCAATCCCTGGTGACTAAATCGTTCGAATATATGAGCCTATGAGGGTCATTCTTATTCAAACCACCACATCCTGTCTGGAGAGTGAAGGAGGAAGACATTTAATGATGAGTTTGATCTTATACACACACACACACACACACACACACTCACATGAACCTGTGAGAGCACACACATACAGATTAGATAACTCTGAATGTGGTTGCTTACACCTCAGCACTTGGAAAGCTGAGACAGGGGGATTGTTGTGAGCTGGAGGCCATACTGTGCTATAGGGTGAGACTCTGCCTCAAAAAAGTTAGAAAAAAATATTAAAGGTTTGTTTGGGGATTGAGCGGTACTGCCAGTGATGGGCGGTGGGTTCAGGGAGCTGCTGCTGCAGAATGGGCTGGGCTTCTTGGTTGAGATAGGAGACAGTTGGCTCTTTGAGGAGAGTACTGGGCCTGCATGGGAGCACTGTGGAGGGAGTCCTGGGCTCATCTCCTACTGAGACCTATTGTGGCAGCAGCGTTCGCTCTTTCCCCTGAGCTACCCTAGGCACCTTAGGTTTCTGTGAGTTTCTGTCGGGTGTTGGAAATGGAGCACACGTAGTTCCCGGTTCTGGGGCCAGGGAAAATGTCTCACATTTTTAAAAACACAAATATTTCTTTTTCTGTTCTCAAGGTATATGCTGAACTTCCAGGAGCCCCCAGCTGTCGGCCCCACGGTGGAATGTGAAAGCTGCCCTTCTCTCTGCAACCCGCTTCATTCCTGAAAGCCTACCTGTGGCATATTTTGGGACTCTGCTAACGAGGGGAGTGACACAGAGAAGGTGTCTGTGCTGCTCCTGGGGGCACAGACTGGCCATTCAGAAGAGAGCTGAAAGGGCAGTTTCATGGGCCCAGCTGGGCCCAGCAACAGGGCTCTGTCCCCCGAGCCACAGGATGGGCGCCGGTTCAAGCTCTCTCTGCCCACCCTGCCAAGGGCCATACACCAGCGCATACACCTCTCACAGTGGCCACCATCATTGTCACCCTCGCTGCCCCTCATGTGACCTAGATGGGAACTCATTCATCACTACTTTCTGTTAGCTTACTTCTTCATCTGCTTGGCAACTGCCCTTGGGCCTCAGGGATGGAAAGGGGACCAAGACAGAAAAGGCCCCCATGTCGGGGTGGCAAGGACAGCACAGTTTGGGAGGAAGGATATTTGCTGCAATTTCTAGGGACCATGAGCCCTCTGAGCAGTGGAAGGGAGGGGTCAGCAGCCCAGGGGCTTCTGGGTTTGCAAATGTGCAGAGGGCTGGGAACTGGGGAGAGATGAAGCCAAAATGGGAGAAGGCAAAGGGAGCAGGTTTTCTTTAACATAGCCGCAAAGGGGAAGGTGCCTTGACTCTGCCCTTGAACCTGCTGTGTGGCTTCCAGCTAGAACCTCTCCAGGCTTTGGTACCTATGGAAAGTGGGCTGATGGACCCCATCTCTCTGCTTGCTTGTGGGGCACACACACAGGAAAGCAACCAGTGTGAAGGATGGTGCCATAGCCTCTGAAGATGTAACTGTGGAGTAGGTCAGCTCCTTTTAGGGCTGTCCACACCCTTTTCGCTTCCAGAGTGAAGTGCACAGGTTCATCCCCTGCCACAGTGGCAACCCCCTGCCTCAGCTTCCTTCTCCTGTCTTCTCACGGCCTCCCCATGTGATCCTACAAGGCTGGCTTTGTTGTAGAGATTGACAAACACAGTTCAGGAAATTCCTCTCACCCCTCTAGCTAGCTCTGGGAGACAGCACTGATGCGCTCCCTGTTCCCAGACGTAAGAAGGAGGCCCAGAGAGTTGCAGCAAGCTGCCTGAGGTCGCACAGGTGCGTGATCTGGCTCACATGTCTGCCCTCAGTCGGTCTCCCCTCTTCCCCATTCTTCCCCCTCTCCCATGCCAAACACAACCATGCTAGTTGCCATTAAGATCTGGGAGAATTGTGCCAGGGTGGAGCCAGTGAGAGGAAAGCATTGAGCAGAGGATGGAGAGGTGACTAGGAAGCATGTTCAGTGAGGAAACCGGGCTTGGGGTTGTGGGTGGGGAGGACTTGGCTGTGGGATGAGGGTGCAGGGCAGAGCTGGGGCTTGTGGCCAAGGAACTCAAGTGTCCCTGGGTGGTAGGTCCAAGTGAGCACGGGTTCTGGCTGGAGGAGCTGCCCCCACCCACCTGAGATTTCCTGAATTCCAGCTGTGGCTGAGTTGCTTCTGCAGGCAAAGGGGCCCTTGTGGCCAGCTGTTCCTACCCTCCCTCTCCAGGCACACACACCTCCATTCAGCCTGGCCCCGCCCCTGGGGGTTGGGGCAGGGGTGCTGTCTCCTGCCCAGTGGTAGATAAGGCAGCCCCCCACATCTGGTCCCTTCCAGTGGGCCGCTGCTGTCTGTGTTGCTGCAGCCATGAAGGTTGCCTCTGGTCCAGGCTTTGCCCTCTGCAGCCTGCTGCTGCTGCCACTGCTGCAGGTTCCTGATAGCCTGAGTCTTGCCCCCGAGCCCAGAGGTAAGGGGACCACGGATGATGGGGACTCTGAATCCATGACCCTTGACAAATGGCCTGGGAGGCCGAGCACAGAGACAGATGGAGGCTAAACAGGAATCAGGGTTTGGGGGTATCGGGTCATGGAGGGGGTGGTATTAGGGAGGACTGGGGCAGGCGACCCTCAAGGAGGGACGGGGAGCTCCCAAAGAGCAAGCAGGAGTCTGTAGCCGTATCTGGCCCAGGGTTCTGGGAATACAGTTCAGGTGTCTGTTCAGTTTCCACCAGGGCTGCGCTCTCAGGGGTTATGTTCCGGCATCCCCAAGGTGCTCAGCTCTTCCATTACAGATGGGGAAACTGAGGCTGTGGGAGGAGGACCTGCCTCAGTTTGTGCCACGAGATAGCCCCAGAGCCAAGAGGAGACAGGACGAGTATGAGATTTGGTCAACTCTGTCTCTGGACCCCACTTTTTCAGTTGGAGGCTGAGCCAGCAGGAAGCTGCCAGCTGTAGGGACTATTTCTAAGGTCTCCCAAGAAACAGATGCCAAAGCTTGCCTGCACATCCTTCCTTTACTGGTCCTTTGTGCCCACAGGGAATGGGCTTGTTCCCAAATGGGCTGGGCAGGGCAGGGCAGCCTGTCACAGAGCCCATCTCTGCTGTACAAACAGGTCATCAGCTCTTAGTTTGGTCTCCCTCCACACAGATGAGAAATGAGGTTCAAAAACATGTTACCCTTTACTGGGGCCACAGCTGAGCCTGCCTCATTCCCAGGCTGCTGGCACTTCCCAGCCACCGGTGCCACCTTGCTGGCGGTTTGGAGAAACACTGTTCCTGGGGTGAGGGTGTCTTGGGGTCCACCTGGCCAGGTGACAAGGTGGCGCTAGGTATTCCTGCTCCTCCTCTGTCCCGGGAGGGAAGCGGTTCCAAATTTGCTGATGCAAAGAGGCTCTGCTGGTGGGTACCGTGCTGGTCCGTGAGGCTGTGTCCACCCAGGAGGTCCCCCAGTGCCCTCCTGCCTAACGTGCTGCCAGGAAATCCGGCTAGTCTCCACGTGCCTAGGAGGATCCCACTAAGAGGTGCTGTCAGCATGCTGCATACGAGGCCTCAAGTGGGAAGTGTGTGGCCTAAGACCAGAGGGGTCTCCCACCTTCTTCCCCACGGGCTGAGCCACAGGCCTGAGACCATCCACTCAGCTGAGAACCTAGCTGGACCACTAAGGCCCTCTCTCGGCTCTCAGGAGCCCAGGGCCTCTTCTCTGACATCCTCTCTCGCTCTTTGCCTTCTCCCCACCGCCCCCCTCAGGGCACCTCTGCCGGACACGACCCACGGACCTGGTGTTTGTTGTTGATAGTTCCCGCAGCGTGAGACCCGTGGAGTTTGAGAAGGTGAAGGTGTTCCTGTCTCAGGTCATTGAGTCACTGGATGTGGGGCCCAACGCCACGAGGGTGGGCTTGGTCAACTACGCCAGCACGGTCAAGCCGGAGTTCCCACTCCGGGCCCACGGCTCCAAGGCCTCGCTGCTGCAAGCCGTGCGCCGCATCCAGCCGCTGTCTACGGGCACCATGACCGGCCTGGCCCTGCAATTCGCCATCACCAAGGCCTTGAGTGACGCGGAGGGTGGGCGCACAAGATCCCCCGACATCAGCAAGGTATGGAGCACTGGTTGGTTGGAGGAGGAGTCTGGGCTGAAGCCATAGGGCTCTCTAGGCCTCTCTGTTCAGAGCGTTGTCCGGAGTTTCCCCACGGGGCCGCTGTTCTAGAGAGTGGAAGTGGCAGAGCTAGGGCTGGGATCTTCCTTGAAGCGGAGAGGCAGGCCAGGGGCTCATGTTTCGCAGCCTCGCTGTCCATTATTAACACTGCCACCTGGGATGTGCTAGCTACTCTCAAGCACAGTGCTTCAGTTTCCCCACCTATGAAGCTCAGCGCCGACAACCTTTCTTGCCGCCTGGCTCAGCAGGGTGCCTGGCACCCAGCCTGTCCCATATGGCATCAGTGCTTCGCCAGCCTGTGCTCAGGAAGGTGACACAGGCCGCTTAGTCACACTCACCGAGTGCCCCAGGAGCGTGCCCGGCAGCTAGTTTCTAGCCACATTGTCCTTTCTCTGAGTCCATCCCAGCTCTTGTTGGCCTGAGAAGTCACCGTTTACCTGTTATTTCAGGGAACAACCCCTTCCTCGCTCCTGTCTGTACCCCACTTTATAGCACGCTAAAGAACGGTGCCTGGAGCTGTGAGCCCCATTTCACACCTGGGTGCAGAAGGCTCCAGCAACTTGCCCAACTTCTTAGTGGCGGCAGAAGTGTTCAGTGACTGTGACACACAATCCCAGCCCCTCACCCCCTGGGTTTCCAGAGAAGTGACACCACCAGACGGCTGCTGGCCTGATCTGTGGCGCTGCTCATTAATGTGAGGTTCTGGTGTGAGATTAGAGGGTGGGGTAGCTCCAGGGCATGCTGATGGAGAGAGAGGAGAGAGAGGGAGACCCAGGTGGAAGGTTGGGGACAGCACTCACCCCGGCAGGTGAGAGGGAGGCTGCCCTAGCGAGCAGGCACCGGGTGGGACCTTCCGAGTCTCAAGGTTGGGCATCACAGCGAGCTGGGTGGACTGTGACAGCTCAGAGTCACAGCTCAGTTTCGACTCGGGTCCCCGAGGGGAGGAATGTGCAGAATCACTTCCCAGGGGACTAGGGGATGGTTCTAAAATAACAGTCGCCCCCCTGGGGATCCTGCTAGCAAGTCATCTCACCCACCCTGGCCCCACACCTTTCTACAGAGGCAGAGGCCTGTGGTCAGCAAAGAAGGTTGCAAGGCAGGAGCCCCACATCTGGCCCAGACTGGCTCTAACAACTCGACAGCCAGGCACCAGGGCATTGCCAGGCTGGTGTCCCCTCTCTCTAGGGCACAGGATAACGGCCTGTGGGAGGGGAGCAGTCAGCAGTCTTTCCTTCTAAGGAGTAGGTATCATCCTGGGTAGTAAAGGAGGACAAAAGAGCATTTTTCTTTAGTGGGTTGGCTCTCTGGGTTTGGGCTGTTGACCCTTGTTTGGGCCCAAGGCAACACAGCTAAGGCTAGAGGGGCCGGCCCTCATTCATGAGCCTCAGCTGCCCTCTGGTGGTCATTATGCAGAACTCCCTGGGGTTCGCTCCTTGCCTGGGTTAGTTCTATTTCCAGGCAAGGAACCAACAATTGCCTGGACAATTTCACCCATCTCAGGGGGATATGAGGTCACAGTCATCAGGGAGTGAGTCTCAGCAGCTCGAGGCCCCAGAAAGCCTGAGTGTGAGGAAGACACATGGCCCTGTTTGCAGAGTTCCTGTTTGCAGGGGGTGGGCTCCCAGGACCCCAGAGCTGCCTATCTGGTGGAGAAGGCCCCAGTGGTCCAACTCGGAAGGGAGACACCTCAGCCCTCATCTCCCACAGTCCCCGGCTAGTGGGATCTTTTTCCTGGTGTGTGTGTGTGTGTGTGTGTGTGTGTGTGTGTGTGTGTGTGTTTGTGTGAGAGTGAGGCCTTCGTTCGGCTCCTCCTCTGTCAGCAGTCCTGAGGGCTCGCACGACTTCTTCACACGACTCCTTCGGCAGGTTGTCATTGTGGTGACTGATGGGAGGCCCCAGGACAGCGTGCGGGACGTGTCTGCTCGAGCTCGGGCTAGTGGCATCGAGCTGTTTGCCATCGGCGTGGGCCGCGTGGACAAGGCCACGCTGCGACAGATTGCCAGTGAGCCGCAGGACGAGCATGTGGATTACGTGGAGAGCTACAACGTCATCGAGAAACTGGCCAAGAAGTTCCAGGAGGCCTTCTGCGGTGCGAGGCTGGGAGGGGCGGGGCCGAGAGGCCTGGGGGCGGGGCCTGGACAGAAAGGTTGTGCTGAAGCAAGGTCAACTGTGGGGATCTGTGGTTCGGATCCAACCCGTCTCGGAGCCCGGCCAGAGATGGTGGAGTTGGGTGAAGGGTGGAGGGTGAAGACCTGGTTTCCGTGGCACAGGAGGGCTGAGGGGCCTGGGAAGGTCTGGAGTCCTTTGCGGAGGGGAGATGGGCCTTTGTGGGAGGATTTCTTGGCCTGTGACTGGTCAGAAGGGGTGAGGCTGGGGCCCACTCTTTCCCGTGTGTGCAGTGTGGCTCAGCGAGTGTTCCTTACTGTGAGAATCGAGTGGGTCACGGAGGGCACGGCACAGCACTAGCTTCCAGCATGCAGCAGACTTACGAATGGAGTTGTGTGTGCTGTACTCACTGCGGTGTGAGTGCCAGGGGTGAACAGGACAGGCAAGGGGCCCTGCTCCCGTGGCCTTGACCCTTGCAGGGCCTCTGGGTTCTATCAGCAGCATTATTTCCTTCTTTGGGGATCTGGGTTGTATCCACTTTGGGGTGCGTATGTCCCAGTTTCTCGGAAGGCCGATCTTCACTTGGCTGAGACGTCCAAGCCTCTGTGAGCGTGCTAGCGCAGCCTCCTCTTCTCTCCCCAGTGGTGTCAGACCTGTGTGCCACAGGGGATCACGATTGTGAGCAGGTGTGCATCAGTTCTCCAGGCTCCTACACCTGTGCCTGCCACGAGGGCTTCACCCTCAACAGCGACGGCAAGACCTGCAACGGTCAGTGGCTGGGCACGGGCAAGCCCCGGGGAGGAAAAGGGGAGATGGCAGGGACGTGGCTGCTCCCCAGGAGACCCATCCGAGGCTCCCTGCTCTCTGCTTCTGGACCAATCTTCAGAGTGGACAGATGCCTTCCAGAGCCAGTTAACTGTGAGAGGCTCTCTCCCGACCCTTGACCCTCCCCCCCCCCCGTCACGCTAGGCCGTGGGTGTGTTGAGGTGGGGCGAGACACGGATCCGGAGGTGAAATCTTGGTGCCAGCAGTTTTGAGCTGTGTCATTTGTCAGCTGTTTCCGAGGCTGGAAAATGGGGCCAGGAACTGGGGCTCTGTAGAGGGAATCCTGAGACACAGAGGGTGAGCCTTGAGTCCTGAGCGTGCGCATGGTTGAGCACCTAGCCGATGTCGGGAGCGGATAACCGTGTCCTCGCGCTTCATCCCCTTGTCCTTGTGCCCTCCTCAGTCTGCAGTGGTGGCGGAAGTGGCTCGGCCACCGACCTGGTCTTCCTCATTGATGGATCCAAGAGTGTGCGGCCTGAGAACTTCGAGCTGGTGAAGAAGTTCATCAACCAGATTGTGGACACGCTGGATGTGTCAGACAGGCTGGCCCAGGTGGGGCTGGTACAGTATTCAAGCTCCGTGCGCCAGGAGTTCCCACTCGGTCGCTTCCACACCAAGAAGGACATTAAGGCCGCGGTGAGGAACATGTCCTACATGGAGAAAGGCACCATGACTGGGGCTGCCCTCAAGTATCTCATAGACAATTCCTTCACCGTGTCCAGCGGGGCAAGGCCTGGAGCCCAGAAGGTGGGCATTGTCTTTACTGATGGCAGGAGCCAGGACTACATTAATGACGCTGCCAGGAAGGCCAAGGACCTTGGTATGTACCGCCTACCTGGGCTCTGTATCCCACTGATGTCCAGGGACACCCACGAACCTGGCTCTATTGTGTAGCTTGGCTCAGTGACTTCTGATTAATGTTTTAAACCCAGATTGCTTCAAATAGGGAGGCATCTGTTAGGCCCACTCTCTCTTATACTGATGACAAAACTGGGTCCCCAGAGGACCAAGTGGCTTTTCCTATGGTCTTTTTATTGCCGAAATTTACAACTCCCCCAGTCGAATGTTGGTTCCCAAGAACGCACCAACTGTTGGAAGACAACCCCTCTTTGAGACAGGTCATAACATTTTAACTAAATGAGGAAATGAATAACCACCAGATTGATGTTTTGAGGGTCATATGAAGCTCACAGCACAAACATCACCAAACAGGAACAAAGAGCGGAACCCCAGACAACATAGATTGATTCTTGATACCAGCATAGTGCCTGCAATTCTGGCAGCTGCCACCAGGATGTCCCCTGTGAGGGTTGTCTAGGCATTGCTCGGGAGGCTCGGCCCTCTGCCTGCCCGCCCTGGAGGCCAGCTGTCTGCGTTTGTTTCCTCTGACAGGCTTTAAGATGTTCGCAGTGGGCGTCGGCAATGCTGTGGAGGATGAGCTGAGGGAGATTGCCTCCGAGCCCGTGGCGGACCACTACTTCTACACAGCTGACTTCAAGACCATCAATCAGATTGGCAAGAAGTTGCAGAAGAAAATCTGTGTGGGTGAGTGAGGCAAGGGCTCGCCAACGGGAGGGGCTCTGCGGGGGAAGAGCCATAGTGTGGGATGGCTAAGGCAGAGAGGGATACTGAAGGGGGGCAGCCCCCCCCCCCATGGTGGGCCAGCTGGCTGTCTCCCAGCAGAGACACACTGGTCCCTTCTCTTTGACCGGTTCTGTTCTCAGCGCTCTGCTAGAACATTTGCCCCATTTGGTAGGAAGTTCATGATCCCCTTTTGTAGACAGGAAGCCAAGGCCTCAGGGGTGGGATCTCATTTGACTGCTGGGGAGCCAGGATCGAACTCTGCTGTCTTCCTGGCCCATGGTCTGATCCCTGTGGTGCAAAGTCTGGGTCCCTGAGAACTGAGAAAGCTTAGTTGGTAACGTGCTAGCTTTGCAAGCACAAGGAACCTGATTTCTAGACCCCAAACCTGCCTAAAATATTGAACAAACCAAACCAAAACAGTCAGAGAGCTGGAGGGATGGCTCAGTGGTTAAGAACACTGGCTGCTTTTCCAGAGGATCCGGGTTTGACTCCCAGCACCTACACCGCAGCTCACAACTGTCTGTAGCTACAGTTTCAGAAGAAATGATACCCTCCGAGGATGTTGCATGGACATAGAACACAGACACACAGGCAAGCCAAACACCCACATGTGTAAAGAATAAATTAAAAAGGCCAGATGTGGCATGCTTGGGAGCCACATCTAAAGAAGCAGGGAAGGGCAGGCAGGTCCCTGGGGCTTACTGGCTCGCCAGGCTAACCTACTTGGTGAGCTTCAAGCTAAGGTGAGACCAGGCCTCCAGAAACTAGGGAGATGGCACTGAGCAATGACACCTGCCACACGTACATGCATGCACACAGGAACACACACACACACACACACACACACACACACACACACACACAC